TGTAGATCCTATATCTGTTTTCAACGGGTAAAACAGATTCTGTATTCCTGAGTTGCATTCCTTCCTAATGAAGGGCATTTGTTTCTTATGGCTACTTCAATCTGCAAAAAATGGGAAGAGGAAGGAGATGCTGAGCCTGGCAGAAGGAAATTGAAGCAGAGAGTTTTGTGGAGGGATTGAGATTTATCTAGATCATGTGTGTCAAACTTGATCATGTCACGGGATGTATCATGATATTTTTTGCCTTTGTGGAGCCGAGATGGGCATGGCCTGTGTGTGACTCATTTGGCCTGCAGGTTGCCAGTTTGACACCCCTGATTTTAGATCATGAGCTGTGGTGCCACAGTGTTTAGAATGCAATATTGCCAGCTGACTCTGCCCAATGCCAGGAGTTTGATCCTGACTGGCTTGAAGTTGACTCAGCCTTCCATCCTTCCAAGGTAAGTAAAATGAAGAGCCAGATTGTCGGGGGCAATATGTTGACTCTGCAAACTACTTAGAGAATGCTGTGATGATGTGGTATATAAAGTCTAAGTGCTGCTTCTATTTCATAAAATGAAGGAATATGTGAATTGAAGCTGAGAAGGACCTTCATGAAGAAGAATTAGTCTACATGACTAATCTTAGTTTTACGCAGGTAGATTTGGGCTACAGAACAGTTTGCAAATCTCTAGGGAAAATGTTTTATTGCTGAATGTTTTGAAAAGCAAACACTAGATTTTCTCTCTCTCTCTCTCTTTTAAACGTTTGTGTTTGACTACAAAAACCCCAAGGGGCTCCTAGTTATTTGTCCTATAAATAGACTTTGCCAATTAAAGCAGCTCCTGAGTTATAACAGAACTGTACTAGGCTTTAAAAAAACAAAACAAAGCATAATAATAATGATAATGCACTTCTACAAAACCCAGATATAGTAAATTGAGTGAATTCCTTTCTTTCCCAAAGCAAAATAGGAATTTAGAATGCTAAACCAAGGATTATATATGCTACAATGTGTGTTTTCATCTCACTTGTTCAAGCTGCAGTCAGGTAAATCCAACCATTTATTAGAAGGAAAGACTTGTAGAGCTTCTAATATTGTGCTAAAATCCTGAAAGCTTTTTTTCTTATGGAAAATAATGTGATTTTCAGTCCTATTTTCAAGGTGGCAGAACTAAATGGACCTTGATCAATCAAGCAGAGCTGGCCCTGAATAATACTTTGAAGGGAGATTACTGGGGGAGTCCTAGACCTGTAGACCACACTGGAGAGTTGAAAAAAATATTCTAAAAGACAAGTCAAATCACTAGTTTGATTCAAAAGTTTTCTTTAAAAAAATAGAATTCCTTTTAGCAGAATTTTTGAGCTTTCTTGTTGTGCAAATAGATGGAGGCTGCTTTCACACCTCCTGACACATTTTCTTTTCCTGATACATTTCTCTGCAGATTTCCTCACATTTCCCAATCTGAAAAGGTTCACAGGAAGAGTTTCCTCACAAAGTCTTATTTTTGTGGACCTGAGGAGGCTGCTGGAAAATGTTTTTACATCATAACTCTCTCATACATGTACACCTTTGCACCTAAAAAGATTTCGAGAACTTCCATGAACCTTCATGAAAATTTAACGCCCCCCCCACACACATCCAAAACAAAATGAAAACATTTTTTTCCTCACCAAACTTAACAAGGAAAGTAGAAAATCATTTTTGGCTCCGTCTTGATTAATTCACACTGAACATTTGCTGCATCTTGAGCATGATAAGAGTTATACCATTGCTTTCACATCTAATAGGGACAATTTAATACATTGCTGCGAAGGAATTCAGCAATGGGACGATAAAATGTCCTGTCATGCTGAAAATTCAGAAACAGTTGTTCAAGCTCTGTTTCTCATACTGATTGTTCCCAGCTGGTCTTATTTTAGTAAAGCTTGAATGGAAATATCCAGGGATAGGACACCTGGCTCTATAGTGTCCAATATTTTTTTTATCAATGACATGGATGAGGGAGTTGATTAAATGTTTCTCAGGTCTGCAGATGTCACAAAACTGAATGAAATGGGTAAGATTTTAGAGGAGAGAGAGAAGATTAGAAACATGTAGATGAGTTTGAACAGTGGATTAAAATGAACAGCCTGGAAATTAAAGGGAGAAATGTAACATTCTGCATCTGGGTAGGAAAAAAAATGGAATGCACAATTGGGTGGGCAGAAATCTGTGGCATGTTTATAGATGACAAATTAAAGGTGATGCAGTTATGTGATATAGCTGTAAAAAAGCTGGATGGTGTTTTAGGATATTTTAACAGGAGCTGAGAGTCCAGACCATAATTATTCCATTGTCTTCTGCTTTAGTCAGACTCCATTTGGTGCCCAGAGAATGGCTACCAAGCTAGTGAAGGGTTTGGTAACCAAGATATACGAGGGACAGTTAATGGAACTGGGCTTGTTTAGCCTACAGAAGAGGCAATTGAGAGGATATGAACCTACATAGGATGCTTATGAACTGCTCAGTTCAACTTCATTGGAGATCTTCAAATAGAAGCCGGATTGTCATCTATCTGGGATGCTGTATGAAACCTGCAATGAGCAGGACCAAATATTTTCTAAGGTTTCTTTCAATAATTGCAATATAGCCTCATGGATATATTGATTTCTACTTTGGATCATATTTCTATTTTTCTGTTTTCCAACTCCAGGTACACAACCAGAGACATCCTAGGAAGAGAAAATACAGGACATACTCTTAGCTATAAGACAGGAGTGGAGAAAAGATTAATTTGAAAATAAACCACTGGATGATATGCAATAGAACAATCAGGATCTTTTGATTCTCAGCTCTTTAATAATCACACCATAAAAACCACATTTTCTCCCCCCCAATGAAGAAAGGTCAAATAAGGGAGACTGAATTTTATAAAGAAAGTTCATGAGTTTTGTGTACTCATGAAATCCACAAACCAACGTTGGACTCAGAATGTTCTCATTTCCTCTCAAGTGTCTGTCAATGGCATCAGACCCTGGAAGGTGACTGGATGAATTTCAGTGCTGTTGTAAGCAAACTAAACAGCTTGAAAACAACCTATCCTACCTTTTGGCATTAAACTGCAGCTGATTGTAATTGTCATCCCAACTGATCCATCTGAGTGGATACCCAATATCAAAATTAGTTGGGGAGATTGGGAGTATATGAATATTTGTCCTGTCAATAAGAGTTATCGATGGACAAACCCCTTTACTTGTCTGCTTTCTCTATCATGTCTCCCTCTTAATTCATTTTCAGTCTTTAATGTACTGTTGTTTAGCTTCCTTTCCCATTAGGCTCTGTAATGTGCTCCAATTGCCTTCAGCTTGACTGCACTTAATAGCCAGCGTAAATAGAACTTAGTGTAGCATGCACTAACATCTCTATCCATTGTCCGGAGATTAAATACATGCCACAAATGGTTTACGCATCATCAGCCTCAAGCCCTAGTTCTACAGCTACCAACCAAAAGAGGATATTAAATTAATTTGCAGGTTGCTTTAGCAAATCCTAACAAAAAGGGGGAAAAGAAAACCTAAGGGTCATTATGCATATAATAGCCATCAATCAAAGAGAGGGGTGGAAAATGATAATGGCAGGTCATTATGGTCAGACAGGTGTGCATATGCATTAGTTCTTCCATGACTGGCACAGACCCAAACTTAATGGGGTTAACAAGAGAGGAATGCAACTTACCATATGTATGCACCTAAGGACAAGGCAAAAGGGCAAGGATGTGGCACATTAGATCATGCTTAACCCATTTTGTTACTTAGACTGGGTCAAGAACATGGATTCAAGAATGGGTGGGGAGTACAGACCTGTCTGAGGTTCTAATTTTAGTCTTATCAAGTAAATTGCTGGGTTAACTACAAGCTAGAAGAGCAGTTGTATATGGTGTATATTAATATAGAAGAAAATATTTTTCTCCCTAGAAAGCATATTTATGTTTTATTTGATTATACTTATTTACTTATATATGCAAATTATATACACGCACGTACGCCCCCCCCCGCTTTTTAGAGAAAATCTTCTCAAAGTAGATTGAAACCATAGTCTTAAAAACAAAACAATTGGATGAACCTAATCTAAAGTGGGGGGAAAAAACACCTGCAGAGTCACAATACAATAAGTTATAGTGCATCTTTCTAAGAAATTTGCAGGCGTGGCAATCCCTGATTTAAATTTTGCTTCAGTGACCTGATAGAAACCTTTTTTATTTTACAAAGGAAATGTATTAATATTTTTGTATAATACATGGATGTTTCCAAAGACTATTACTGTAGTATTTTGAAATACATAATTTAATTGACCATTATAATATTCAAGCAAGTCAGGGCAATATAACTACTGAAAACTTTAGCCCAAAGCTAGGGTAAATTGATTTAACCACTTTGATGTTTGGGGTTTGAAGCTTTTTGCTTATCTGTTTGTTTATTTGATTAATGTCTCATCCATCTCATCTAGAGATGATTCTGGGTGGCTTACAAATACTAAAACTGGTAGACATTACAATGATAAATAATAAAAACAATAATGAGTAAATTAAAAGATGGGGTGAGAGGAGCACCAAAGCACATGGGGAGAAGTAATTTTTTTTCTTAACCCAATAGCCACCTTCAGAATGGTGCACCCATGTTGGAATACCAGGTCAACTGGCAGAGTCAGGTCTTCAAGTCCTTATCGAAGATCAGTAGGATGGCTGTAGATCTCAACTCAATGGAATAGATTCTTCTCCTAGACCCTATCTACCCCAAATTCCTTGACTGTTGGAGTCTACAGCATGCACCTTCTGCCAGCGGAGGTGGGGTGGGTCAATCCCATTGGGGTGACACAGTTCTTCAGATAACTTAGACCCATGCCATGAAGGGCTTTAAAGGTGATAACCAATATCTTAAAACAAACTAGCAGTTAATGCAGCTCACTGAACAGCAGTGTAACATGGGACACCCTGGAGCCCCCAAGAACTGCCTACCCTGCCACATTCTGCACCAGCTGTAGCTTCTGAATGCTGATACTAAATGCTAGAATTGGAATGATACAGAGAAGATTAACGTGGTCCTTGCACAAGAATTAGAGTTATGGTTATGGTTTATGGTTTTGGTACAAATCACTTCCAAAAGGGGAGTTTCAAAATTGTCAAAAAAGAACCACCCCCTTTGAAAAAAGGATAATTCATTTTTGTAAAATGCAGACCACATTTACGGGCATTAGAGAGGATTTTTCTCATGCTACATAATTTCTTGTTTGTTCCAATGCACATTTTTCAACATGGTTTCCATATTAAAATTAATATCTTAATTTATACAGTATGTGTGTGATAACTCATATAAAGTGAGTAAAGCAGTTAAAAGAAAAAAATTGCCTTTAGCAACAGATCTTCTCCAATTCTTTGTCTTCTATTCTACTACATCTTGGTATTGCCATGTCACTTATTCACACTTTCTTCTTTTCCATCACAGTTGCATCTGGTGTGTTTTCAGCCGAATCAGTTTGTATTAGAAAACTCCATAATGTTTTAACTTGCTTGTTTTTCACTACTTTTTCAACTATATGTTCTTATGTTCCCACTATTATTACCGGCACATGATAATTTTTATAGATGTGCCAATGAATCATTTTGATAAGTGTGTTATATTATGGCTTATAATCAGTTTGTATGATCTTCTTGCATGTACTAAGTATATGGTCAGAAAAAAAACGGTAGCATTTGCAGAATTACCAGTAAAAAGACAAAGATTACCAACATTGAAAGTAGTTTTCAAGAAAGACTTAGCACCTATAATAAACCATACGATTAAGGTGCTCACAAGGTTGAAAATAACCTCTATTAAACATATGAATTATAGAATAAAATAGAATTCTTTATTGGCCAAGTGTGATTTGACAAGGAATTTGTCTTGGTGCAAATGTTCTCAGTGTACACAAAAGAAAAGATACATTCATCAAGAGTCAAGAATCATCAGGTACAACACTTAATAATAGTCATAGAGTATGTATCAGGGTCTGAAAATTGAAGTGGAAAGATCATGGCATAAATTGGCTGTTGTGATCCCAGTGGTTTTTGGTATATTTTTTTGCCATCAAAAATCCTGAATGGGAAGTAGAAAATTTGCACATTGACAAAATTTGTTCATTACAAAGGGCCACCCTGCTTGGATTTTCATATATACTACACTGATATGTTACAACATCTTAAGTTCCTGGGAAAAAACTCACTATGTATGAAGGCTAACACTAGCTAAAAAACAACAACATGACAGCTGATTTCACATTGTTGTGAACAGATAATAACACTCTTGCACACCATCGGCACTGACAAATAGCTAAAGGTGTCTTTATTTGAAACAACTTATATCCTATGATGATAAACACCAATGTCTGCCTATCCCGGGTTCTTGGCAAGGACTTTGGACAAAAGTGCCAAACTGAATCTGAATATCTGGCTTTCTGTGCGACCAACCATAGTAATTGTAAATCACTTTGCGGAAAGTTGTTTTAAACTCCTTGAGTTCCTTAAGAAAAGGTGGAATAGATATATAACATCAATGAATTAAAGCTTCCTCCTCTTGTCATATTTATTAGATCTGGATATATGCCACAATCCGAAACATTATAAATTTAGTTATCCCATCTCAGGATGTTGGCTGTCACCGTTCTTTTAAGCAAAGGATTCTAATAAAAATTATGAGCAAGAGTCATACATGATAGTGGAGGGGTTTAGGGGAAAAGTGAAAGATGCAAGAGGAAATAGTGTGAAGGGAATATGTTGGTAATCAATCCCTCAGCTAAATGTTGTACAGCCTGGAACAATAGACGATCACTCTTCACTACAGCAGCCTAAATGTGTGTTACTGTGCCAGTTCTTTTTCTCACATTATCAGATCAATAGAGCCTTAATTGCTGAAGAAAGGGAGGATCATATACTATCACAGCACAATGGTTTAATCACTTGGATGCTTGAAGTTAATTTCCAGCAGTTAATTTTTCACTTGTTCTCTCTCCACCAGAACCAGCCTGGCTTCTTGAGCTGAACAGGTGGCATTGGAGATGGGCAATGGGTGGCTAAAGGTGGTTTATTATTAGATTTTAACAAGATAACTTAGGCTAATTGCCAGAGTCTCTCTCTCTCTCTCTCTCCCTCTCCCTCCTCTCTCTCTCTCTCTCTCTCTCTCTCTCTCTCTCTCTCTCTCTCTCTCTCTCTCTCTCAAATGTCGCATCATTTTAGGGTCTGTTTAGCCCATAAATCTCACTCTTTGTTCAGTGCAGGAATCAACATGAAGACCTTTCTGATGGATGGATCCCATGGCTTCTGAAAGCTAAACAGATCCAATTTCCCGAATCTTTTCTGATGCGGCTTAATTTCCAATATCTTGATCTTCATCCTTGCTCTTATTTATTTATTTGTTTATTTAATTTCCGTTAAGCTAAAGTCTTTTTAAATATAATACCCTGAAATCAACATAGTTCACAGGTAGAGTCTGACCAATGCAGAATATGGTGATATAATTACTTCCTGTGTGATGATACCAATCCCATAATATAAAACGTTTTTATCTTTTTTTATGCCATCATTTCAATCAGAAGAGAGCTGGAAGGGATCTTGGAGGTCTTCTAGTCCAACCCCCTGCTCAAGCAGGAGACACAATACCATTTCAGATAGGTGGCTGACCAGTCTTTTCTTAAAAACCTTCAGCGATGAAGCGCCCACAACTTCTGAAGGCAAGCTGTTCCACTGGCTAATTGTCCCTTTTGCCTGCCACATGTTAAGACGTTTCTTCTTAATTCCAGGCTGCTTCTCTCCTTGATTAATTTCCATCCATTATTTCTTGCCTTGCCTTCTGGTGCTTTGGAAAATAAGTTTACCTCCTCTTCTTTGTGGCAGCCCCTCAAATGCTTATACTTTGTAGTATAAGTGGGTTGGCTCCAACACATCAAACCACTTATTGTTCCTGCTCAGAGGGTTTTGAACATTTGATTTTGGGGTGTGGTAGTGGTAATGGCAACACTACATAATGGCAATGCCAAATAGAAACAATTCTGCTGCTGCCACTTCCACCTTTCACAGGGTAAAAATGTACTATTTTTTTTTCTTGAGTGAAGGAAAAAGTGGTAACTGGCTTTGAAATTGTATATCTATCCTATTCCTCAAAAAGCAGTGGATGAAACCAAACAGAAATTAATCTCATTTACATTTAATTTATCAAATAAAAAATATGACACCAGCTTTGAAAGATTCTGGGACTACATTCAAGAATTGCAAGGGGTGCCAGAGTCCTGAGGACTGAAAATTTGCACTTCTGTCTTGAGAGAGCCGTGTGGTTTATCTCCAGCTCCAGTGGGTTTCATACTGATTATAAATAACATATTTTTAAAGAAAACAAATAAGTTCCCTGTATCTGTGACAACCTACGTAAGTATATAAAAAATAAAATATATATGCAACACAAAAGAAACTAAGTAAATGATTAACAGAATGCAGGCAAAGGGAAAGTGTGTATCTGAAACAAATTACACAGAGAAATGTGGATAATAAGAGAAGAGGGAGCATAGAATTTAATTTAAGATTTCAAAAAGGAGTGAGGTAGAGAAGAGAGGCTTCATGGCTGTATATTCTGTTCTAACCAGACACAAGACAAGCAAGCAATGAGAGGAACAGTAAATGAAATGAAACTTCTATAGAAGTAAGTCTCTGGGGACCTTTGGGGACATCATTATTTTAGGGGTGTGACTACGTATAAATTGTATACACAAAAGCTACTGCAGAGAAGAGAGTCTTCCTATAACAGGGGCAAGATCTGAAATATTTCACAATATCTGAGAATCTTTTCAAAAAGTCAGGAAATCGAATGATGGTGCTTTTTAAAACTTGTCAAGATTTTAAGGGAGAGGGGAAAAAAAGGAGTTTTCAAAATTCTGAATTTCCCTCTTCTTCCTCCATTATTCTGCAGTGAAGTCTTGGATACCAAGAATGTAATTGATATCTCCTGCTCTAATTATTACCTGACCTCTGGAGATTTTTAATGCATGAAGTGCTTGATTTCAAGCAGCATTCTCAATTCAAATTAAATGCTGAGATCCCCTTCCCCAGCACACACCCCTTTACTGCAACAGGCTCCGGCAGCTGCCAGGGTTAATGCATGCAGCAACTCAAAGAAGAAAGATTGCTACTGTTCTAGGTTCAGCAAAGCCTTTGATTAAGTTTTGTTTTATTGGATCTTGAAGGAGTAAATTTGTACAGTAGTTGCCTTAAGCTAAATATATAAATCTACCTCTTTATCATCTACATTGTTATCATCACCATTTCCACTGACGTCAGATTAGAAAACAGGAAGATATTGTACACACTTTGCTGTTATCTAAGGGTTGCTCAGTTTTTTGTGATCAAATTGGTATGGGTAGCCATGGTTTAAATACACAAGTATTGTATCCCTCCCTCCATCCCTCCCAGCAACTGGTGGGCTGCTACCAGTTCACACTGGTTCAGGCGAACCGGTACGAATGACAATCGTTTGGCTCCTCCCACCTGCCCTATATTTCCCTGTTTTGCAGCTCAGCTGAGGCACAGCACAATGGATTGCTGCACCTTAGCTGTTTTACTCACCGGTGGTGCAGTAGAAGTTTTAGAGCTGTAAATTGGCAGTTTTCGAATGCTACGTGTGCTCACCAACCAGGTATTAAACCGGTGGAATCCCACCAATTTCTGCTATGAGAAGTAGCAGTTTTTCAAAAACATCTTAATTGCAGTTGTGTGACAAATATAAACTAATATAGATTTTACATAACCCATTTTGTGCAGCCACAAGTATTAATATTCCTGACGTGCAACCAAGATCCATCCTTCTTTCCTCCCTCCCTCCTATTCTGAAGGTAGTTCATAGGCTACAGCACCAATTGTAAAACAGTTGTTGAGGACTTCAGTGGCTTTGCAATGGCTGTTTCATTTCATAGATTTTTGGGGTCACTTTTTTGCCATCTCTGTTAACCTCCATTGCAAAACCAATTTAAAATCACTTAAGCAAATCATGAAAGATGCAATATGGGGGTGGGGGGGGGGAGGTGGTGAATAATGGTTAGCCTAAAGCATCACAACAAAGAAATT